CACTGATCTTAGCAGTGAAGCGATGTTAATAAAGCAGGCATTAGCTCCTTGAGACGATTATTAACACTGCCCATTTGGGAAGATCAGCTGCAAGAATAGTGGATGACTGGTCACTTATATTTATTCGCTGGAATAAGCAATTACATATTGATTTAAGTTAAAGTAATACTTTAGTGTAAAAATGTCAAAATAGTTAAAAAAAATGTATTTCGCAAACACTTTCTCTCAGTGTATATTTAACTCCATAGACTGAAGTCCTTGATGTGGTATCATAGCACAAGTATTCCTCATCACTCGGCTCTTGCATGTTTAGACAGTTGAAAGTCAGTTGCGGATTCTGTAAATCACTCAAACTGGGTCAGAAGGCAAGGGCACAGCCAGAGATATAAAGCAGTCTGGCCTGCACAGGTCTGTGATTAGTGCTCTAACTAAATGGTTGCGTGTTTATGTCCACTTAGCTGCTAGAATATGTACATGTAAGGTGTAAGGTCAGGATAAGGATAAGCTGTGAGTGCAGACTACAAGCCTGTGGGGTTGGAGTGGAATTTCCCAGTGAATTGAGACTGAAATGCCCTGTCCCACACTGTGGAAGGCCCCACAGGAGACCAGGCAGCAAACCAGCTGGCCCAGGCCTGCAGCAATAGCAGGTCAACAGCTGCTCCCCGGGGATCAGTGATGAAAATCAACCTGGTGGTGTGAGGTGTAACAGAAGGGGGAAGACGAGAAACAGCATTGTGGTTTGCGGCTTCTCTGTGGTTTCTAGTGGATATTGGGATTGAGTGATAGTTTACACTGTCTATTCACTATCTTGCCAGACACCCTTCTTTCTGGCTTTAAAGAAACAAATTCTTTCAGTAAGCTGGGGCAGAAAATTCTGATAATTATTCTTTTTAATTCTAGGTGATTCTAATTGAATAAATAGACTAACTACTTAACTGAGAACTCTAGTGTACAGTAACAACATCCAGAGAACACATGAGCCGGTTCCCCTCTGTGTCTCCTTTGAGTTAAAATTACTTGCTTATCTATTTAATCTCATTCAGCATGCTAGGAGAGTAAAATACAGTTGGAAAAAATATGCTATTTTAAACATCACTGGAATATTTCACTTTATTTTTTCCTATGGAAGTAACAAAAACAGCACAGGAAATTGCAAGTGCAATTCGGGTCATTTTTGAGAACCATAAGAGTGTAAGATTAAAACATCCAAAAGTTTGTGCCTGTATTTAATGAAGAACAAAGACTCTTTTAGGCAAAACAGCCTTGTCTGCTTTGTCCTTTCTTTCCGGATAAATATACTGGAAGAGGAAAAAGAGCTGGGAAGACTGTTCTCTGTGCTGAGGGGGCTTGGAAAATCAAGACCCGCCTACTGCCAAAGAAAAACAACAGCAGACAGAAATCAGAGGGAAGAAAAACAAGTCTTCCCTCAAGGAGGGACAAGGAGGGAGATAAGGGCGCTGGCAGACCTGTCCTGCAGCAATCTTCTCTGAAATCACACCTTCCTTTGAACCAGAAGGGCCGGGCAGGACAGAGGCAACAGGAAGCATGTCGGTGCTGGGGTCAGCCTGCCCAAGGCTGTGCTGTACTCCTGCTGACACATCCACCTCAGCACTCGCTGTGCAGCCCAAGCCAGGGAGCACACACTGTTACCTCAACACCTCTCGAGCACAGGGATGTGTGAGCACAAAGCCTGGCCATATCAGGTCAAGACTGAGCAGATCCCAACGCAGCGGAGCTCCACATATGAGCCATACATGCCATTATTGTGCACAATAAGGCTAAAGCTCATATTCCAAGAATGGGGAGCATAGCAGACCCCTAAATCCCATTGTCCATGAATGTGTCCGAGGTCATCAGGACACACAGAAGAGATGGAGAGATAGCAACTTACGGACTGCTGGGTTCCACTTCGCTTCTTGGACAGCTGCGGGGAGCCATATTCCCGGGACACTTGCTTCCTAACTTCAGCTGCCACAGTCCTGAGAAACAGAGAGAGAGTGTCAGAGGTTGACCCACTGCTCTAACACCATTATACAGGCATTGGAACCAGGGATAACCTCACTGAAGAAACCCTACACAGCTTGAAGATAAACACAATCCTGCTGCATACTGGTTCGACCTGTTCCAGGTTATACACACTGCAGGCTCTATTACATATTGTAATATTCTATTACATACTGGACAAATTACAGAAACTCTGAAACAGATACATGTTTTTTATTATAAGACATGTGTATCTGAATATGCAAATTTATTCAAAAGAAAGTCTCCAACAAGAAATACCATACAACTGCTGTTGGCCTGAAAACAATATAATCTTACTTGAAGGGAGGCACAGTGTGATGGTTAGGAGATTCAAATCTTAGAAAGCACACACTGGTCAACTGCATCCTTCAGTGGTTACTTATGCTGGATCAAGCCCTGCCATCTCAACACCACCCCACATCATGGGTTTGGGGTTCAAGGTCTTGCTCAAGTCAGTGGGAGAGCTCGAATCTGAACCAGAAATCAATGCCCTCTAGCCAAACCTCTCAGCCACCTCACCACCTTACAGGATCAGGACCGTCAGGTCTTTCTTGCTCTGCTGCAAGCTCCACCCTCCTGCTGCTGTGTCTTTAGGATCCTGGAGCTCAGTATGGCAGTTCCCCTTTCCTAAAAACATTTCCTATTGTTGCTGTCAGGTTTAAGTTTAGGGGTCCTTTGTCTGGTAGCCTGGAGTGGGTGAACAGCAATGTTGAGTGGGGGATATTGTTTCTCCCTTTATCCAATCTGACCTGTGTAAGATAATGTAAAGACTCTGCATATGGTTCGAAATTGCGATCTTGTAAGATCTGACTAAAACAAAAATATAATTAAAAATGTGTTAACTGTATGCTAACACAGCCTTCTTTGCTCTTTTCCACAAGTACTTTTTTTTTATTTTCATGAACAAAGTTGTAATCTGTTTCCATGATAATGACAAAGTGTCATATGCATCTGAGTTTACCACTGTGCATTTTTGTCAAATCTGGCTAATGACTGATATCACTGAAAACAAACCTATTAAGACGTGTCAACTGCAAAAGTTTCAGTTCATCCACTTTTTCCAGTGATGGTAATGAAATGCAAGTTGGAGCCCAAAAATATAACTCTGTCTTTTCACCAAATCTGTTGAGTTATCAGATGGCACGGGCAGGCTATCTGTTGTGTGTTTATTTGTTTTAAGGTCATGAGTGTGTCGCTTACCACAATTTCTGGTAAAACATGCATTGTTCTTTTGGAATCCATAAATACAATGATGTTTAAAGTTAGTCTAGAAGTGCAACAATACACTGTGTGAATCCCTTGGATTATATTTAATCTTTCATATATTATATTTATCTTCTGTTCCCTATATAAAATATGTAAAATATGCACAGATGGGACATAATTCAGTGATAACTCTGGTTTCAAAGTGTCAATTCTGCATCTTGGAACAAATAGCTTATTGAAAACAACAGGCAAATCCCATCTTGCAATCAACAGTTTTCAGTAGGTATGACTTAAAATTGACATAAACCTACTGGCATCAAACATTTTAAAAGGAGAATGTGTGAAGTTTCAAGTTGCTTTAAGTAGCAAGGGGCGTCTAAACCACTGTACTTCAGAGCCCTGTGTTCTTCACTTGTGATTCAGACCTGCCATCTCGCAAATCTGATTTTGCAAAGCAGGTGCACACAGTACAATGGAAGAATTGTTTCCCTGCTGTACGGAAGGTTCACACTCCCACCACTTCATGTGTTCAAAGCCCAGGAAAGAAGCAAGATGTACAGTGATCAGAATCCACAGAGGACATAGGAGAAGAGCAAAGGGTTAACACTCACTGGATGGGCTGATCCCACCAGCTCTGATCCGAGCCCTGATTACAGAGGGATTGAGTTAGGATGTGACTGTAGGTCCAATCACACAAGCTTCTAATCATGGCACCCACTGCTTAGCTCCAGATAACAAGAGCAAAGACAATCAAATTGAAAGCTCTCTCATTATGTATTCTATATACTCCATTTTCTGCCATCTCCCTTCATAGTACAAAAGTAATGTATTCATATAGAGTTCTGACCAATCACTATAGCTTCCTAACACCAGAGATAACAAGATCAGAGGGTGCCAAAGCGTCACTGAAAGATCAAAACAGAGGTACGTTTTTGAGTGGGGTAATATACACAGAATAAGTAACAAATAATTCCCTGTACTAATATAGTGCATTAGCCTGCAGGCAAAGCCACACCATACTAATCACTGGGGCTGGGGTCACCTGACATTGCCAAGGAAGCAAGGACTCTGATGTATACACAGTATTTCACACCAAACAAATATTCTATGTGCTTTATGCATGAAGGACATTGTGTCATTGGTCTAATTTTAATTAATTTAATAAACTATTTTAATCATATGGTGATGGACAGAACATTCTGTAGGGCCAGGCTCAGATAGAAGGCACCTACACTCACATTCACTATTTTAGACATTATTTAGAGCTCGGCCATGCTAAACAGCACTGTTTATCTAAATCAGTTTGCTGGTCTGCTCTGTTCTACTCCTTCCCTGTGCATTTCACAGGCTCAGACTCCAAAATCTCCAAGCAGAGGTTTGTGAGTGTTTTGCGTCATAACAAGCGCAGGTAGTTTAATACAATTAAAGATCTGGTTTCTTAAGACTGACATTACTGAGTCCAAAAGGCAAAGTGGCAAAGTGCTGCCTTGCCGAGCAGGAAACGCTGCCCTTGAGTGCCTGTTTCTGGAGACAGCCAGCCTCAGCAGTGGGGGCAAGCAGCCCAGTTCTCACAGGAAGTCAGAGCCGTCTACTGCAGGGCAGCACAAGAAGAGACAAACACATCTGGAGGAACTGGTGCTGGTGGTGCATGAGAGATCGTCACCAAAAAAACACACAGTAGTGTCCTTCACCCACTATGCACAGGAAGAATGGCAACAGAGATCCTGGTTATTTTAACATGTATGCTCCTCCACACACACACACAGCTTCACCAATCCATAGGCCACAGATTATGTGCTAGTATAAGCGTCAGGCTCTGCATGAAGTGCAAGGTCAGTCTGTATTGGAGAATGGTGTTTTAGGGTTTGATTAATCTTAAGACATATCACATCATTTCTTCCTCGTAATCCATTATGGCTCTCCAATAATATGCTTTAGCTAGTAACCTCTCACCTATCTTTCTCAAGGAAATGTCAGTAGAGAGCCATCTTTAATTCCTTTTAATCTGGCTTGGTTTCATTTGTCTATTCTGCCAGATCCCTATGGAAATCAGAGTATGTTAACAAAAGTTTCGAAAGGTCAAAGAAATTCAGGCACTGCTGGAGGTTCAAAACTCACACAAAGGTAGGCAAAAGCTTGCTAACAAGGATCGGAAGCCATTAATCTGCCAGATGGGCTGTATGCTTATAATCTCCTTTGCTTTTTAACTTCCTATTTTGATGCAATAAATAATTCTGTATGCTGAATAATTTATTATTCTGCAAATAACCATAAAACGCTGCCTGAGACTCCATGCACACATCAGAAGCCAAGTAAAAAAAATGCAGTGATGGAAGTGTGGGTGTTTGTTCAAGGACCAAGCTAAAGTACACAGCAGAGTGAGCCTTGCAGTCCCCTCTTTCTGCACACGTTTGCCTTTCCCAGGCTCGTCCACGGGGTCTTGTCAGTCACGCACCCTGTGGCTCCTCATACAGGGGAGAGAACACAGATCCCCAGCAACGGGGTCAAGTGGTCTTTATCAAGGACACATGCTTCCTGCTTCCTCAGGCTTGTGCTGTCACCAGTGTCCTCTCCATAGTGACTGGAGTCGGGGTGCAGGCCTTCACACAGTCACAGCCCCATCTTAATGGGACCCCCACACTGTATCCTCTGTGTCAGAGCAGGGCAGGTTAACTTGAAATTAGTAAAGGGCCAAATCCTCCACCCACAACAAGGGCTGCTAAAGAAAGGGTTCGAATCCCAACTCAGTCAGTCTGCAGATTTAAAAAAAACAAGTCCTGTATCTTCCAAGCAGCGTAAGAGCACACAGTATTGAGTGTGACAAAACTGTGAAAAGCAGGAGAAACCAACTGGTCTAACTCCGCTAACTACAGAATGTTACAGGAAAGTCCAATTTCCTGTAAGGCAGGACATACACTGTAAACAAACAAAAACTGAAAATGCGTTCTTAACCATTATCATAATTACTATAAGTTCCATACTCTCTTGTAATCATCTGCATGCACACATGACAGTGATCATTAACTTAGCTGATGCTTGTAGCTGAAGTGATTTATACAGCTATATATATATATGACTTTAGTATGTAGTTCAAGGATAATTTATTAAAAAATAAAATATATTACAGTTCTCATTATTTAATACAAGTCTGTGCAGGACTCAGGAACATCACAGGGAAGACTGCACACCTTCCCAATTCACAACCCTGTAGTGCAGGTTTTTCCACACCAGGTGATCTGAAACACATGAGAATTTTACAAACTGACACTGAACACTGAACCCAAATGTTTCTGAAGGTCCTGTATCTGAGAATTTTAACAATAACACTCTGACAACAACATGCCGTAAAAATAATTTTTAATAAATTCTCAGAAAGCTATACAAATAAATTAATTAATCAGATAAAAAAAACATTCTAAAATCTATATAAAGCAAGAATTTGGATTCTGGTGGGGAGGAACATTCTAAATGTAGTAAAAATCCCATTCAGAATCTCTCAGACAATTCATATTGTGCTTTACAATAGAAGCCCTGTTTATTCCTGCTCCCCAGCTGTAGAGCAGGTTTACAAAGATAAAGCAGGCTGCTCCCCTCACGAGTTGAGGAACCTGGTCTCAACAAAGCCTTGCAAAAAGTAAAGTTTTGAAATCCTTTGACTGTGGAAGCTCTGAAATACTATCCCCTGTGAAGGCAATGTGACTTGAAGTAGCAGGAGGTTGAAGTCAAGGTAGCTGCCTTAAACCTGATC